AAAGAAGTGTTCATCAAATTTTCCCGTCCGCACCGAAAAGATGCATAATATAGTAGATGCACCCACATGCGTACTCGGGCGGGCGGGCAAGACGATCCCCACGCATGCAATTTATTTGCTCGCATGCTGCATTTCATGCGAAGCTCTCATCAATTTCCTGCCCGAACTTACTTATATTCCAGAGCGTGGCAGAGAGAAAATCTCATCTCCTTTCCCCCAAACGAACGTGTACCATACCAACTCGCTTCGCCCGCGTGCTCAATAAAAGCAAATAATGCGAAACATTTCAAAACCACCCCAGAGGCAGCAGCAGGTAGGTTCGAGATAGCGCTGCTTGTGAAATCTAGTCGGATGACGCGCAATTACCACCCGAGAGAGAGAGAGAGAAGCGTATGCTGCTTGCGGGGTGCATCCGATCTGAATGAAATGGATGGGGCTGCGAAAGAGCCCGTGTGTAGTAATATGCTCGTGTGCAGCACGGCGATGTTTAAAGGAACCCTCGTGGAAAATTTGTTAACGCAGGCAAAACTTTTTGCGCTGCATATGTTTATTGTGTGCATCTGGATTATTTTAATAAGGGGCTGCTGCAGTTGCGCGCCGGAAACTTTGTTTATTCTGGTTTTATTGTTTTAATTAAGCGTGAATAAATTATGAGCCATAAGAAATTCTGGTGAAATATTTATTAAACCCGTCGCCGCCAACACACTCTAATTTTCCGCATTGGTGCCGAAAATTAACTCGCTGGGAAAATTTTCAGCTCCTGAAATTTTAATTACGGGCGCATTTTTGCGGCCGACTTTCAAACGTCGAGGGGTAGGAAAAACACACGATTCGAGTGAGTTCTTTCTCGTGTTAAGAGCAAAGTTTCAAGGCGCAACCCTCTTTTCGTCAACTCGCTCAACGATGCAATCTGGCCGTGTATAGATCACACCACGCAAATGACACCCGGCCGCAAATATTGACTGCTGTTTGCTCGGTAATTACCTAGTCCAAAACACCCTGTTAAAAACAACAAACAACAGTTGGCTGACAATTGTTGTTATAAAATTAAGTTTTTATTCTGAAAAAAAATTCACCATTTGAAGAGAGATCAAGGAAAGGCATTCTTTTACCTTGTGACTTACAGCCGGTGAGTAAATTTTTCTTATTAATATTTTGTACCTGAAATTCCTCAAGCTGCAGGTTTTTCTGCATGCTATTGTTACTAATTTTTTTATTTACATGATGCTATTAATGATTCAATTAAAATCATTTTACTTCTCCAAACAAGTCAGACAATCAATTGTAAAAAAATTGGTTAGGGGAAAATTGGCACACAGTACTAGTGAACAACTCACTGAAACTCATAAGCTCTCTCGTATTCACTAATTAAAAAAGTCGGCAGCGCCACTTCTCTCTTCACTCACAATTTGATTTGACTCGTGGTTGGAATTAAGCTAGCATTAATTTTTTGCTCAACGGCCGGAATTTTTTGCATTAACCGTGAATTTTTATTAAATAAGGCATTCTTTTACCAGGAGATTTACAGCCGTAGAGTGTATTGTCCTCATTAATCTTTTGTTCCTAAACTTCCTCAAGATGCAGGTTTTTCTGCATGTTATTGTTAGCAAATCTTTTATTTACAAGATGCAATTAATAAGCTCTCGTATTCAAGCTCTCGTAAAAAAGTCGGCTGCGCAGCGATTTTCTTCACTCGCAATTTGATTCGACCCCGGGTTGGAATTAAACAAGCATTTTTTTGCTTGAATTTTTTCGTCAACCGCGAATTTCAATAGTATTTCCCAGTATTAAGATATTTTGCTCCTTGACGAATAAAAATATTTTGTATTAGTATAGGCATTGTTTTCACCTTGCGAGCATATTTTTCTCGTTCAAATCTTTTGTTTCCGAAATTCCCAAATTTGCAGGTCTTTCTGCTCATACGTTAATTAGGTATTTATATTTACTAAGCTAATAAAACTAATGAAGTCGGCTGCGCAGCGTTTTTTCCCTATTCACGCACTTCAAGAGTTGTTTGTGTGTGTAATTACGTAGTCCAAAACATACTGTTAAAAACAACAAACAACAGTTAGCTGACAATTGTTGCTTATAAAAATTTATTTTTGTTCTTAAAAATTTTAATTTACTCCTTTTTGAAGAGAGATCAAGGAAATCTAGCTGTATTTTCATTTGAATATAAACATTTTTTAACTTATTTTACTAATTAATTATTTTCACTATCAAATTTGTTCCAAGAAATTAGTTGTTGAAAAGTGGTGATGGGAGGAATACTAGGAATTTTTAAAGAGCAACTAAAAAATGAAAAATGCGGAAAACAACGTGTTCAATTATTTTTTCGCTCTACCAGATTTTACTGAGTATTAGATTTTAATGAACTTTTAATTAGAGATTTTTTCCTCGTTGATTTGTAAACCTCACGTTCATAGAAAATAAAATTGTTAAAAGCACAAAGTTTCTTCAGATTTTTGATAGAAAATCACAAAAGATCTCATTCAGGTTTTAATACTTTCAATACAAAGACAAACCCAGATTTTTTGTCCCTTCCAAAATCCAAACTGGATTGTGGAGAAATTACGACCTCTGTTTGTATCATTAAATTTGATACCACATATATTAAAATAAATAAATTTAAAACTTTATGCTTTTTGAACTATTCAAAACCCCGAGATTGTTTTTTTTTTCTTTTTTCATTTCGACCCTATTATTTGCGGCAACTGGGCAATCTGGCCGTGTATGTGTGCGCGCATATATCCTCATTTAAACGCATGCAAATGACACGCCCGGCCGCAAATATTGACTGCAACTTCTCGCTTTATTCTTTTTTTTCCTTTCTTTATTCGAGTCGGAATCTGGCCGTAAAAAGCTACGGCCGGCTAAAGCGGCTCGGAATTAAAACTTAAAAAACAACCTGCGCAGGCAGGGGGAGACGGGCGCGGCCCACCCAGCCCATTATAACGGCGCCCTCTGGAGCAATTCTTTTTTAAATTGCATAATATACTCTGCTGGCTGTATGCGTGCGCGCTGAACCAAAAAACTATAATAGCTAGTTCGGAAGGACCACAACGCGCACCCTAATTGCGCGCTCGTCCTCTAAAACGATTGCGCCGAAAAATTCTTTCTCACGGCGAATTAGATTATTAAGCGGCGTTCATTCCGTATGTGTGGGTCCTCTCCGGACTCGGCCCTACTAATTGAAACGCATAAATTTCGCAGGCACGCGCCCACGCCAGCGACACGCGGCGCGACCGGAGCATCAGCTGCGAGAACTTGCGGACAACAAGATTTATTTAGGCACTCACCTTCGTTGACCACAGCACGAGTGTAGTTGCACCCTTCCTTTCGACGAGTGACAAAATCAGGCAGTTCCTAGAAAAAAAGAGGAGACATTAAAAAAAAAGATTGACTTTTTTAGAGATAAAAATTAGTTTTGCAAAAGTTGATACTTCTTGTAAATAGTTGGAAAAGAACAAGGTAAACTTCGCATACAATACTTTTTCTTATTTATTTTCAGATAAAAAAAACCTTTCTAAATTTTCAACTGCAACATTTTATTTCTTTATATGAATCCTATCAAAATTGTTTCAATACCGCAGAGCTGTAAGAAAATCGGTTTTACATTTATTCGCACTACGCACCTTAAACTTCATGCATTTTACTTGCATTGCTGCTCATTACCTTGAGTACATTTACTTGTGTTTGGAATAATTGGCCGAAAACCGAAATCTTGGGTTAAGAGATGCAGAACTTCCAACACCGGTTTGTTTACAACAACAAGTAAATTTTGTACAACGATTGTATCGAGCACTAGCGGCAGTAGTAAAATCATTGGAGGTGGAAGTATGTACATACGTTTCTTCTTGGTACATACATACATAAATGGAAGAGGAGGAATGAGTACTATGTATAAAATATATATGTGCAATGTCGCAATGTCTATAAATAGCGATAAATAGAAGCAGCAGAATTTTTTGCTCTCCTATGGTTTGCAAGTTGAGAAGGAGTTGCAAAGTAAAACGCTTCAAATTTTATACACCGATATTAATTATAACTATTACACATGCAGTTGCCAAGCCAATAAAATCATTCCTTTCATCCTACCTTTTCCAAATTAGATGGTTATTGAAATAAAAATAATCAAAAATTTATTTTTAAAATTCCGATTTTTACCTGTTATATAAATTATAAATATTTTAAATGCACTGAATTGAAATTTATTACACCCACTTCTGGGAAAAGCGTTTCACTTTCATCACAGATAGAGCAGCTCGCTGTCAAAACCGTTGGGAATTTCAAGCGCCTCAACATAGAACCCGCGACTTCAACAGGTTGACTCCCTCACCTCTAGACTAGGACTTTTAACGGCCTCGCTTCACTTTCCCTTAGCAAGAAAATCTCTGTTAAACTCACGCACGTTACTTTTTAAGCTACATTTTGCATCCCCAAGGTTTCCGAGTTTTCATCACACATGCATATTATTTTTTCTCCTCTTATCTGCAGATTTGCATACTCCCCGAAAGAGAGCCAGAGAAAGAACCCACTTTAAATGCACATCAGGATTTTACGCCGGGGGATTAAATTTGAATTCGGCAAAAAGGTCATAAATCAATCTACTTAAAACAATATTTATAAAAAGTATACACGACGGCACAGCAGAGGTCATAAAAAGCAGATGAAATTTCAGCAGGCTCTCTTTTCCGCCGCCGCCTTCCCCTGCGGCGGCGTAATCGAGCTGTAAAAGGAGAGAGAGTCAACTTTCCCGCCCGCATAAATGCCACACACGTTCTTAAAGATCCAACTTGTAGCCTCTCATAAAAGCCAAAAGCCCTGTGTATAAAACGGGACGGGGGATGACGGAAGGAAGCGGCAGAGGGGTGGTTGGGTGCATAAGTAGCGTGTGGCCATCGCCGCACGCAGCTTCGGCGAGGAGTCGCTCGAGGGCGGTGCTGCCGCCGCATAGAAACACGACCGCGTGGCTGCCACTCGGCACAGTCGCACCCCGACACGCGGGAGCCACGACCAGCACAGACGACACTCGCTTCCGAACCATGGCCTCGTGATCTCGGCGGCCTCATCGCTCTCTTTTACTATCTCGACTGCCACTTTCATCACACAACACAAATTCCTCCTCTAATTCTTTTCTCACATTACATTCGAAAAGCCAAAATCGAAGATGCCTCAGAGAAGGGGTGCCAACACGGAGCTGAGCGCCGACGGCCCGCGAACGTCCACTTGCTGCGTCCCTGGCGATTGCCTGCTGCCCGACCAGCCCATCCGCCTTGAAGAACTGTCCGATGACGTCGTCAAGGTCGTCTGCAACGACGACCACTGCACCCAAGGCCAGTTCATGCACCAGGCCTGTTTCGACTCGTGGGAGCAGCAGGTGGGACTTTTAAAACTTTCGCACCCTCTCTCTCTGTAGTGGCTTTCCCGCCAGCACGCACTGCTTTCGCCCTCTCTCTTTCTCGCCCACGTGCGTCTCGCCGCCGCATTTCTTCTTTTATTTTATTTTTTCCCCGAGTCCATTAGAGCTCTTTCGTATTCCTAGTGCTTTTTCGGATTTTCCTTATTTGCTTGCTCTTATCTCTCACTATTTTCTTAATGGTTTTATTCGCTTCCGGCGGAAAATCAATAATGTACTTTTCAGTGCATTTCTCATTCTTGTCAGAGACAATGCTTGTCAACACGTTGCGTGCGAGCGTCAAGTTTCCTTTTGAAGTAATATTAATTGACTCTCCTTTGAGATAATGTTATAAGCTATGTACATGAAACTTAATAATTGGAAATTTCTAGAACCATCTATTTTGCAAAATAATTAATTTATTGATAAAATAGAATTATGTACCCTCGGACATGATTTTGTAGACATAATTTGCATTGATTCTTAAAAAATTGCCAAGATAATGGAAGTTAAATTTTTACTTGTGGATTTTATGCCTTTCAAACTGGAACAAGTTAAAAAGATAATATATTTAGGTAATAAAATGTACTTTATTTTCAATCATAACGGAATATTAGAAATTACTGAAAATATTGATCTTTTTAGATTTTTTTGCTTAAAAGCAAGCGAAATTTAATATTACAATGTATTGCATGAAATATTTACATATTTTATTATTTAAAATGCATTGTATTAACTTATTTTTAGCATTTTTAATAATTGAATCTCTCGCTAAAAGCCTAATAATAATTTATATTAATAGCCTATAAAGTAATAATAATAATAATTTTGCTTGTCTTGATAGCAAAACTAGAAAAATATTAATAAGAATTTCCAGATACTACTCGAATAACTTGTTTCATTTAGTTACAAATTGTTCTAAATTTTATTCTTCACGCACAAAAATTAACACTGCCGTATCTGTTTTTATAGACTTATTTCAAATAATTCGCGTTTTGTAATGCAATTGAAAGTAATAATGGGGTATAATTATTCACATTGTTATATTTGAAAAATATGACAAAAATTTATGACTTCTTTCATACTATTAAGCTTTCTGTATCAAAACACGTGAAAATTCTCTTAAAAACAAAATGATAATTATTTAAAGCTAAAAAGAATCTCAGCTTTTCGTATAGCTCATGCGATATAGTCTTAATAATTTTTTGGAAACGAGCCAAATTTAATCGAAAACAAGAGAAGTTTCTATTTTAGTAAACAGGAAAAATTGAACTGCGCAATTCCAAATCCCTTTATTCTCCGTATACAAAACATTTTTTCTGTTTAAAATCTGACGTTTTTCCATTAAATTCCCATTATCCTAAAAAACATACTTCTTATTTACCTCTGCAAAGTCGAAGTCAAACAATACGTCAGACCTGCAACAGACACCAAAGCCCTCCATAATGACTTTCGGTTCACAAATCTTTCTTCCACCGCGCGCGATGCATCTTCTGAAACCTTTCGATATGTTGCGCGCCGAAATCAACAACAAAATGAGGAGGATTCAATTTTCCACGCACAATATATTTTCCTCCGCCTTGACAGGTCTCGAGACGCTATTTTGTGGTTTCTATTAGGAGTATCCGAAATTCCCCCCGACCGCGCCGCGTCCTCTCTCTTTCGTTCGTTCGGAAGACAAAATTTCAATTCTGCCCCTAAACTGACGCGTGTGTGTTTTCCGTATATAACAAATGGTCTCGCTTCCGCTTAGCCTGTGTTTGACACCGCTTTGAATGATTTCACAGCCGAAAATAATCACGCCCGGGCACATTTTTTATCGCGCGCAACTTCAAAGCGTGACAAATAGCCGACACGTCCGAGAAACAGACGAGTTAATTCCGATTTTCGACCCGCACGTTTCCAGATAAAAGGGCAAACGGCACATTATACAAAACGAAATCAGGGGAAAAAATTGCGTCCAGCGCAAAAGCAATTCCACGTCGCCAGCGGGCGTGATTTATGTTCGAAAGTCAATAAAATGTATACGACGGTGCATAAAAAGTGCAAAGTCGTTCGCAGCCAGACGAAAATTTGGTATTCATGCCGGCGAAAATCAAATCGGCACAGGCGACTCGATCAAAGTGACAAATGGCCCGTGAAACTTATTTTAAGCCGGCGACGGCGACGATTTATGCCGCGGATTTTTGTTTATCTGCGCGCAAGGAGAGATGATTGATGTCGCGCTCTCTCGTATATATATAAATTTTATCTGCGACCCCTCGGCGTTTATCGCGTCTGCAGCCCGCGCAACATTTGCGCCCGACGTGTTGCATAACTTCTTCTTCCGCTTTCCCCTTGCTTTTTGTCTACTATTACTTTAAATAAGAAGTTCCCGAAAAGCAATAGACTGGCTAAACAGACAATAAAAAATAACTCGCAACTTTTTATCGCCGAGTTTTATATTATATCAGAGAGGGCGAGCCGGGTGCATTATGATTACATACATAGCTGCAAAGTTATGCAACCCTCTTATATAAGCAAGCTGCTTTTTCTTGCCGTTGTTGTGCAAAAATTAATTGCGAGAGTGGAGGAGTTTCTGGGAAATACATACCGATTTTGCCGAGGCAGCAGCTTTTGAAAAGAACTTGCCATAAATCTTTCTAATTAAACTCCCATGCAGAGATCAAAGCGCGCGTTTTATTGTCCTCTCTCGTTCCTCGATGCATTCACCACTCCACTTTTGTATCAGGCAAAAGAGAGACTCGCGCACACACACTCAGCCACAGAGAGATGGAAAATGCGGAAAAATCGCCGTCGGTGCTTCTCATTTGCCAAAGGTTTCAGAGACCGTTTGTTCCGCCCTCAATACACGCTTTCATCGGGAAGCCGCACAAGATATTTATTGCCTAATGACGAGGGAAATTTTATCCTCCTTGTTGTCGCTTAGGCCGTCTATTGTTGCTCGAGCGCAAAAATAGCTGTGCTCGGAAAAGCTCAAAAGGAGAAATTTAATGTGTGCAAGCGGCTTACTAAAATAAGGAAAACACTATTGTACCCCAAGAACTTCGGCTGAATTTCTAGAGAATACGACGTATAAAAAAAATGTTTTTTTTATAGAACTCTCTAGGGAGGGAGAAGGGAAAATTTCTCAGCTATAACAAGTCAGTCAGCAGCTGCTTGAAATAATCGGCAGAGTAAAGATGTTTCATTTTCAATCTGGAATTAATTTTGAAAGCAATTAGGTCTTGGAAACGTTAAGCGGATTATCAATTTCCTACTGAAAATAAAATACTTGGAAGAATTATTTTTAAACTGGAAATAGAGATTTATTATCTTGGAGATGAAATATTGTTCATCTGAACAAAATTTTGGGCACTCACAACTTGAGGAATTTTATTTATATTTCTCATGTATCTTATTGCATAGCTTCTATCATTTTAAAATTTGGTCAGATTTTAATTGCTCAGAGGATTAAAAAGAAATAACCATTTTTGGATTTAATGGAAATAAAATACTTAATTTAAAATCTATTAGAAAACAGTATAATTATTTCAATTAATTTTACTAATTATAATTATCAAAATAAGTTTTTCCTTTGTGCCTTCTCAAGATATTTCTGCTCTAAATTTTTCGACTGCAAAGCTTCACCATAATTTACGAGCAGTTTGAAAAAGGAATAAAAAAAATAGAAGTTAATTAATGGATTTTAGCTTGATTATTAACCTTTACAAAATATACCTGAATTATCTTTATCAACGTTTGTTGAATCTTATTCATTTAAATTTTTTATTTTGAATAAATGTCAAATTCTAAAAATTTGATTTATTTGTTGTTAAAAGGTGCTGAATTTCTTGCGGACGTGCGGGCGCGCGCGCAGCTGGTCGGCGAAGCAGCGGCTGCAGAATTTGTGGACCAAGAAGGGCTACGACCTGGCATTTAAAGCTTGCGGCTGCCGGTGCGGCCGCGGCCACCTGAAGAAGGACCTGGACTGGACGCCGCCGCAGCCGGCAGCGCCTCAGGTCGTCAAGGAGGAGGCGCGCACCAAGAAGAAGCGGCAGCGCCAGAAACAGAAGCCAGCACTGGCCGCGGCTGGTCGTCCCGCCGAGGCCGAGGACGCCAAGCAGCGCAACAGGGCTGGCTCGGCCTCGTCCACCTGCTCCTCAGGCTCCCCGCCCAGCGCCGACTCGCCCATCTCGGGTCCCAAAAGGCCATCCAAGGTGCAGCAGCTTGACACGCCAACCAGGTCAGTGACCTTTGTCATGATTTATCTTGTATAATTGCATTATCAAATTGTGGTGTACTTGTTGTTTTTAGGAAAGAAGTTTCCAGATTTTTTTCTTTATGTCCAATTTAATATGATAAAAGACTTATTTATTGGGTTATTTAAAAGTCAGTTAAGTTTTTTTCACATGTTTATTTTTTGCAAATAGCCCGAATTCCAAAAAAAGTGTTAAAAATTTTGATTTCGAATTTTGGTCAGAGGACTCGCTTATCAACCCGAACAACATACTTAAATAACAGAAAGGCATTATGCACCAAAAATTTAGGCCAAATCGCGGTCAATCATTTGTGAACGGTCCCAAAGAAATTTCAATTAAATAGCATTCTGAAGCCAAAATTTTGAAAATAATGATTCTCAAAAGTATAGCAAAAAAAGTTCAAGTATGTACATAAAATCGATAGCTCTGGCTTGTCTGCAATCAGAAAAAAAAATTTTATATTATTTTTTGAAAACAATTCATTTGAAATAAAAAAGAATTGTTGGAAAAAACGGCACCACCACTACAAGGAATTTTGCTAAACATCTGAGATAAACAAGACGTTATCCGCCGCAGTGAGCGAAGTTTTATTTTATTAACTTTATTTAAAATAACTATTGCAGATTTTTTATTAATTGGTGCATAACTATGAGCTGAAATTATATTTTGCATTGCATTTCATAAATCCGCAACAAGAAATTTATCCACAATAATTCGTATTTTGTGATTTTATTCTCATGGAAAATGTTGAGTTCCCCAGCAGTCTATTTTATTAATGCATGATCATTTTTATTAAATAAGGCATTCTTTTACCTTGTGATTTACAGCCGGTGAGTATATTGTTCTCGTTAATCTTTTGTTCCTGAAATTCCTCAAGCTGCAGGTTTTCTGCGTGTTATTGTTAGTAATTTTTTTATTTACACGATGCAATTAATAAGCTCTCGCGTATTCACTAATTGAAAAAGTAAGCTGCGCTACGTCTCTCTTTATTCACAATTTGATGCGACTCGTGGTTGGAATTAAACAAGCATTATTTTTTTGCTCAACGGCTGGAATTTTTTTCTTCAACCGAGAATTTTTATTAAATGATGCATTTTTTTACCTCACGATTTACAGCCGCTGAGTATAATGTCCTCGTTAATCTTTTGTTCCTAAAATTCCTCAAGATGTAGGTTTTTCTGCATGTTATATAAATTTTTTATTTACAAGATGCAATTAAGAAGCTCTCGCTCATTCATTAATTAATTAAGTCGGCTGCGTAGCGTTTTTTCCCTATTCACTCACTTATGGAGTCGACTCATGCGTGCAATTGCATTTTTTACTCCGTGGCTGGAATTTTCGCAGCACTCCATTTTTATAATATTTAATTCAAATGGAAAAATGTAGAGTTTCCTTGCAGCCTGTTAAGCAATGCGTCGTAATTAAGATTGTAAATGCTGGTGAGTGTTTTTTCTCTCCTCATATTGCTTACGAAATTTCCCAACATGCATGTTTTTTTGCACGTAAGAAAATTCGGTACTAATGATGCTCTCGAGCGTTTTCTAGCAAAATGAAGTTGGCTGCGCAGCGTTTTTTTTTCCTCATGCGAGTCGACTCGTGGGTGCAATTAAAAGTGCATTAAATTTGCTCAAACTCTCGGGTGGCACTCGAGAACTGCATTTTATTTTCCTAATGCTTAAGCTGCGCTTTTAAGAGCTTTTACCGCATTTTCTGTATTTTAATGAAAAAGTTGCGCGAACTCTCATTAACGTTCTCATACGTACGTAATCCTGCTGCACCGATTTGTCACAATTTCGGAGGATTTCGCTTATTTTTGTCACGCGTGATTAGGCTTTGATGGAAATTAATAGCCGCAGTGATTTTGCGACGGATTGAAAACTAAGCCCGACTAGATTTACGATTATTGGTCAATTTTCGCGAAAACCAATCCGCAATTAATCCCCGGGGGCAAAAACCTCGCAGATTAATGGATTAATAAGCGAGCGGCGTCGGATTCGATTTGCACCCGGCAAATGGCATAAACTACGCGTCAAAGGAAGAGCCCGATCCGTTTATCTCCATCTATGAATTTGAAATACACATCACACACACATGCAAGCCTCCGAACGGCTCTCATCGTCTGATGCATGAGCACTATAGCCGCCAGGACTAGTTTGGTCTAAGCCGACTGGTGGAGCGCATTTCCCCCAGGTGCGCCCGTCATTAAATCTGATTATCTATGTAATTTGCTCAGCAGCCATAGGCCTATTGATACGCAACGCTGTGACCCCCTATTGCATCATGAATCAACGCACGACACGTCTACTCTACGTGCGAGCGATATTGCAAACTAGAGAGAAGAGAGAGACTTTAAAGGAAATTTGCTCCTTTGAGGAGTTTTGACAGCAGTTTAATTAGCTTTCCGAATTGTCTAAAGTCAATTAGTTCTGGTCAAAGTTGTGCACTTTGTGCGTGTCTCGAAAGCGAGAAGGGGGTCTCCCGAGACAAATTGCGGGGCTTTCAGAGTGACACATGCGTGAGGTCCACTCTGCGAGGGATTAATTTTAAAATCCTAGAAGCGTTTAAACCGGTTGATCTTTCGCAGCCGTAATTTAGAGCAGGCATTTTAATTAATCTCCCCGAATTAAATTTATTGCTGAAGAATGCAGAGACCTTTCCCTTTAAATTTCAGTTGAAAAGTGCAATTAATTTACTGAATAAAAATTTTTTTTTTAATTTTTTAGATTCTTACATTTAAGCATAAATTTATTATTAGTTTTCAATTTTAATTAACTGACTTTTTAGTACTTATAACATTTTTTTTATCATAATTTTGAAATTTGTTTGAGTTATTCTCATTGCGGCTTAATATTTCTTGGATTTTTATCATTAATCCTAGATTCTTTGAGCTTCCTTAAAAACCGGTTCATCTCATCCAGTTGCAGTCGTAATTCAAAGAAGTTTTAATCTCCCCCCGTGCGTATTAAATTTCTCTGGGCGAGAAGAATAAATAAAAATTCTCAGCCCGATAATTCTCGAATATTTTATGTTAATTTGACATTTTTAATTTGGGAAATTTCTCAAAATGAAAATTTACGCTGCCCCAAGAATGGCAATTAAGCAAGAGGCACATCCACTGTGATTTCCCAGAAGTCCCATAGCAGGCGCAAGAGGCGTTCATAAAACGCACGCGGAATTTTACGTTTCCGAGTGCAAATTTTGAAAGAATGCTCTTCCGCATTAGCATATCCATCATCGTGCGCATTATTATGCGACATAAAGTGCGCGCGCGGCGAATGCATGCTCACTCTCCCCCATATTTTTAATTTCACTTTCTTTTGAGTGTGCAACCAGTTGTGCTCAGAGCAAAATAACATAACTCTCCTCTCATTCTCCCCACGTGCACTCACGTCAGGCGAGCGAGAGAGAAAGAAGAAATCGAAACCTTTGAAACAAACCAGACCACATTACGGCCAAGCCTCTCTCTTTTTCTCTCTTTTCGCTCCCGTCCTCTCTCCCTTCTAATCCGAGCCAGATAATTAAAACATTAAAATACTGCGCCTCTCTCTCTTTCTGTATACACTGCGTGCTCCTCTGCCTTTTCCACATAAACCAGAAGATTTACGCTGAAAAATTCACGCCACCCACGGTGCGAGGAAATAATTAAGGGCGTGTGCAATTTGGTCCTCTCGCTCTCAACGCACTTCTTGTTTTTAATTCAAAACCCGGCAGGCCGGGTCATGATGTTGCGAGCGCCACTTCAAAAAAAAAAAACTCTCACTCTTTCTGCGTATAAACGCGTACAAGTGGAAAAATATAATATAATTTTTTTGACAAACACACCGACGCGGAGGGTGTGTGTGTGGTAGTTAAAAAAATTCAGGATTCCGACGTGCATTTAATGAGAGCTGCCGGAAATCGTAAGTGGTCATTAAATTTGGATGTAAATTGCGCCTGGAATCCATTTGAATAATAAATTATCCCTCCTTTTGTCTCCCCAGCAGTTGTCTGCGCTTCTGGTGATTTGTTGCGCTAATGAACCTTCCCTTGAATTTATTTTTGGAAGAAATTTCCATATTTCTCGCATTAAAATTTTAGCTGGGGTGCACCTTGCCGGGGAATTAAATAAAGCATTAAGTGTAATTAAACCGTTCGAGAACGGGAGAAATTTATTTCCTGCTTGTATATGTGCGCGGAATGAATTGCTGTGCTCATCGGCTCTCTTTACAATGCAATGCACACACACATACTTTCACAATGATTGATAAGAATTGCATACTCGCCCCGGGGGAGGCGTGCGAGAGCGATGACGCCACGCATGCCTCTCTATATCTCGTATATACTACATATAATAATCCCCAGTCGTCAGAAATTACAAAAAGCATGTGCATCTCGACGCAATCAATACTTTTTGCCGCCGGGGACGGTGATGCAGTCTGTCTCTCATAATGCGGCGGCTGCTGCGTTTTTCCCCGATGCGAATGAATATTGCTCTCCAGCTCGGCTCGTCAGTGCGGTATTTATTTTTACAGCCGCGTGCACTTTTCAAAAAAGCCATTTTCGAATCCGGCAGCAGTCTCGAACGTCCCATTATATGCGCTCGGGATGTGCTTTAGAGCCGGAATAAAACCCGATGAGGTTTGCTATTGTTTTTAATGTGAGCTCGCATATAGCCATTCTTGCGTTTCAGTTTTAAATTGTTGAAAAAATTTAAACTTTTTTTGTGTTGCGTAAGTGGTGCATTACAATAATTTGCGCGTGATCAAATTGCTTTCTAATTGTATGAATATTTTATTCTCAAGTATTTAATCTCTTGTTAAAATGACTGCAGTTTATTGTTTTTAATATTTCCTATTTAAAAAAAATGTACAATGTTCGCCATAATTGCAGGTATTTTTCAACCATTTTTTTAAAGATATGTATTCCTGCATGCGCCGAATACAATTCCTCGGTACATTAGCAGAAATATTCTAATTGTGGCCATTTCAGAATTATAAGAACATTT